TGTGTGTCCCTCCATGGATATGCCTCCCCTGACCATCATTGACGCACCACCAAACCGGTCATGCTGAACAATGTTACATGCAGCATAACATTCTCCACAACTTATCAGACCCTTTCACATCTGTCACATGTTCTCAGTGTGAACCTGCTCTCATCTGTGAAAAGCATTGGGTGCCAGTGGCGGATCTGCCAATTCTGGTATTCTACGGCAAATGCCAATCGAGGTCCACAGTGCCGGGCAGTGAGCACAGGGTTCACTAGAGGACGTCGGGCCCTCAAGCCACCCTCATGAAGTCTGTTTCTGATTGTTGGGTCAGAGACAGTCACACCAGTGGCCTGCTGGAGGTCATTTGGTAGGGCTCTGGCAGTGCTCCTCCTGTTCCTCCTTGCACAAAGGAGCAGATACTGGTCCTGCTGATGGGTTTAGGACCTTCTATGGCCCTGTCCAGCTCTCCTCGAGTAACTGCCTGTCTCCTGGAATCACCTCCATGCCCTTGAGACTGTTCTGGGAGACACAGCAAGCCTTCTGGCAATTGGCATGTATTGATGTGCCATCCTGGAGGAGTTGGACTGTGCTGTGCAACCTCTGTAGAGTGCAGCTATCACCTCATGCTACCAGTAGTGACACTGACTGTAGCCAAATGCAAATCAAGTGAAAAAATGAGGAGGGAAAAATGTCAGTGGCCTCCACCGGTTAAACCATTCCTGTTTTGGGAGTCTTCTCATTGTTGCCCCTCTAGTGCACCTGTTGTTAATTTCATTAACACCAAAGCAGCTGAAACCGATTAACAACCCCCTCTGCTACTTAACTGACCACGTCAATATCCCAGAAGTTTAATTGACTTGATGCTATACTCTGATTAAAAAGTGTTTCTTTAATTTTTTTTAGCAGTGTATTTTAGCCATACAACTAAACTGCTTAAATTGTGAGCGCAAATAACTATCCGTATAGCACCGAAAAGCTGGCGCATGGCCAAATGTTGCGCCAGTCATCTGAAGTCCTAGTGATTAATGCGCGTGCGCGATATGATATCGCCCAACCCTAGGTGCGAGTGACAACACAGCAAGAAAACCCCGAATCTAAGTTTCTTCTGTATACCTTCGGATCGTACAAATCAAGGCAAAGAGACAGAAGAGCTACCGAAAAGGCTACAGAAAACTTGGCTAAGATCCATCGATTGAAAGAACTTGAAGGACGATACTGTCAAGAAGTGGCATGTTCTGTGTTCTGAGAATAGGCAGTATTTCAGTTAAATGCATTAAAACTGCGTATTCATTTCCTTTTGAGCATTTTGTCATTTGTATTTTGCTGGACGGAAAAAAACAGATGTAGGCTAATTTGTAACAAAATAGATTGAGAGATTGTATTCTGTGTATTTAAAATACTTAATAAAATGCCATTTTAAGAACGTTCATCGTTATGGTTACAAACTTTTAAATACTGCCTTTTGCCATCCTTTGCATTATTCCAAGGAAAAAAGCTGCTTTGGTATTCTGCTCAAATTACCTATTAGTATATGCAGTAAAATAGGCATATACTGTATATTGCTGACTGAGTGTCAGCATAGGACGATTAGCAAACAGCAGTACTGTGCTCTAGAACTTGTAAATGGACTCCCTAGCCTCCTAAGGCTAGTGGCATTCTAAATTATGTTAATTTCAACATTGGATGTTGGATGACAAAGGAAGTGAGAAATATCCTCAAGGACCACAACACAGCTTTCAAATCAGGTGACAGAGCCCTCCACAGTGCGACCAGAGCCAATCTGAGGAGAGCCATCAGGGAAGCTAAGGTGGCCTTCAAAAGGAAGACAGAGGACCACTTCACCAGCAACAACGCACAGCAGGTCTGGCAGGGCATCCAGCATATCATTAACCATAAGACCAGTAATCCCACTACTGTTGGAGCAGATGCTACACTATCAGAGGAACTAAACTGTTTCTTTGTTTGCTTTGAGATTTCGGAAGCAGAAAAGGCAGTCACAAAAACTGCAACAGACACCACATCCTCATTGTACAAAAGCAGAATGTATGATACGTACTCAGTGCAGTCAACCCAAGAAAGGTTGCTGGTTCTGATGGAGTGACAGGATGGATGCAGAAAGAATGCACAGAACAGCTCTTGGAGGGCTTCACAGAGATCTTCAACTTGTCAATATCTAAGTCCATCATCCCACCATGCCTGAACTACCAAATATTCCACTACCGAAGAAACCTTCCATCAGCAGCCGCAGTGACTACCGTCCAGTTGCACTCACCCTGGTCATCATGAAGTACTTTGAGAGGCTGGTCTAACAGCACATAAAAGCCAGCCTCCCATCATCTTCTGACCCACAGCAGTTTGCCTACATAGCAAACAGGTCCATAGAAGACACCATCACCACTGTGCTCCACACTGTACTGTTCCACTTGGAGACAAAGGGGAGCTATGTGAGGATGCTCTATGTAGACTTCAGTTCTGTTTTTAACACTGTCATTCCTGACCGACTGGTCACAAAACTCTCAAACCTAGGACACTCCAGACCCACCTGCCACTGGTTCAGGGACTTCTTGACTAAATGCCATGAGATGGTTAGATTAGGCTCTCACTCCTCCACACATACACCTAGCACTGGTATCCTCTACACCCTATACACCCATGACTACACCATCAAACAACATCATTAAGTTTGTGGAACTCATCTCAAAAGGAGACAAGACTGCAGGGATGATGTCCAAAAACTGGCAGTATGGTGTGCAGAGAATAATCTAACCCTGGACTCTTCCAAAACAAAGGTACTGATTTCAGACTTCTGGAAATACAGCACAGACCAAAAGCCACTGCACATCAATGGGGAGTGTGTGGAAAAGGTCCCTGCTTTCAGATTTTGGGGCACACACATCACAGAGGATCTTTCCTGGACCACCAACACTACCGCGGCAATCAAAAAGGCACAACAGAGACTCTATTTCTTGAGTATCCTCAGGAAAAACAATCTACTGGAGAAGCTGGTGATGTCTTTCTACTGCTGCTCTATCAAGAGTGTGCTGGCATACTGCATTACCACGTGGTACACCGGCAACTCAGTGGCAGGAGAGCCTTACAGAGGTTTATCAACACTGCACAGAAAATTATTGGATACACACTACCCTTTCTAGAGGACACTTTTATGCTCCTGCTGTTTCAGCAGAGCAATAAACATATTAAATTTAAGGATCTCTCCAACCCTGGACATCAGCTGTTCGATTTGCTGCTTTCTGGCAGGACACATTGTCTGTATTAATTGCGTTGGTGATTGCATCAAGTGCACTTTGTACTTCATCTGTACAAAGTGTGGTATATCATGTACATACGTTATGGTGTTATTAGGCCACTTAAAATTAATAAATTGTTTTACATGACTCAAACTTCTAAAATATTGGTGAGTAGGGGATTTTATATTTTATATTTTTAGCGAAAAGACGATCGGCAACAGAGATATACTAAAACTAGAAAATTAAACTTTAATTTGTCAGTATCTCAACATCTTAAACTCTCAACAGTTCAAACAATTACAAGAAAAGAGAAACCTTCAAAAGAAATGCCTAGTCTAATGGTCTTGCCACAGAATGGCCCAATAAAAGCGTCCTCCTGACAATAGCAAAACAACAGCACTTCCATTGTTTCAAACAATAGAAGTGCTGTTGTTTGACCTCAATGAGGGTCACTATTATTGGACCACCCTACAAGAGACTACTTGCTCACAGTGCACAGGATATCAGGGTTTGGCACATTGACGATCTCTGACAGTTTTTGAGGTGAAAAAAACGGATTTTTTGAAAAATATAAAATATAAAAAAAATCGAGGCGGCACCAAAAAATTGAGGCGGGCGGCCATGTAAAACAATTTATTAATTTTAAGTGGCCTTATGTCATGTTGTGTGTCTACTAGGGGTGTGCAAAGCAGCCGGTATTTGTATCTGTATTAAATTTGTATTTGTTGAGGGGGGAAAAGTATTTGTATTTGTATTCGAGTAAAATTCAAAATAGGCGTAAAAATCCAGTTTTTTGCGTTGCACTTCTAATTTACGTTATAGTGTAAGTATTCTTTAATTATATCCATTATAATAATTATGGATATGCAGTAGACAGAGTAACTTAAACGTACCATATAACTCCTACAAGTGCATACAATTCGACACAACTACACAACTATTGTTTTAACCTTTTTAACCAAACGTTAACGTTACTCTGTCAACAGCCTATTGTCTAAATTACCGAGCTAACAGAGCTACAGTACGTAAACAGAGCGAACATGAGAGCACCTGACTGCAGACGTCAATAATGCAGCGTAATGGAATAATCTCCCGATCAAACTCCGCTTCCCGAAAGTTATAAACTGCCTCCGGAACCCAGTTAAGGTACAAAAATCTATTCAACAAAAATAGTGACAGTTAAGTCTTTTTTTTGCTCAGTCGAGCCTTCTCTGTTACTGTTGGAGCAGCCTGTGTCAGTCACCTCTTTTACCCCCCCCCCCGACTCCTGAACTCACTCACTCATCCGGGCATGCACTGCGGTCTCAAGAGGAAACGCAGCTTTTTGATATAAAGTTTTTCTTGTTCCCGAATACAAATATTTTTTAAAGTATTTGTTCGAAATAAGTATTCGTAAAAAACACATTATTTGTGCCTTTCCGAATACCGTATTCGGGTTCGGCTCCACCCCTAGTGTCTACACTGTACTCTGGTTACACCTCAGTTTACATTTTAGTTATTTGTTTCTATGGCTTACTCACTGGGGGCTTTGGGTGGGGATGCAATAAAGCAATTTGAGACGATGTAACGTTGTGATAATGCGCTATACAAAAATAAATGTGTTTGTTGTTTGTTGTTATTATGCGTATATGCACCGTTTGGGACTGCTGCAAAAATTTCGTTGTACTTTGTACAATGACAACAAAGGAATCTAATTCTAATTCTAATTATAAAACAATAATAAAGTATTCACTGAAGAGTCCTCTCATTGGAGCTCGCTGTAGTCAGTACCTCCACGCAACCGCAAGGGAGAGCTGCGAGCCGATTCGAACAGCGAAAGCGAAACCCTGCTTCCTGACCGCCATAGTGCAGTGATACAGCGAGTTTTTCCCTCGTTGCCTTCGTAATTGCTTCGTCCGCTTTGAGCCCTAGCTGCTCGAATAGCTCGCAGGTAGTGGACGCGATGCTCTCGACGCCCATGTTTGCAAACGGCGGAAGGATGAAGGAGTACCATCACTCTGGCTCGACGGAGTGCCGATTCTCGCCTTACGCCTATAACGGGGGGTAAGTGGCTGGTTAGCTTTAGTCGGTCGGCTTTGTAGCCGGTTAGCGTTAGCAGTTTAGCATGCTAGCCGATTGGTGTTAGCCGGTCAGCTTATTAGCCTTTTGCTGCCTCAAGGAGACAAACCCAGCGGTGTGGGCTCAGATAAACCGGTTGGGTCTCGGACATGAATAATAGACATGACTGGGTTACAATGTGTGTGAGGTCGGTGCGCTGCCCTGTTCGGCTAACCTCACCCGGCCTGAGCCGATCCGCTCGGCCGGGCTGCTGTTTGAACACTGTCTACCCCCCGCAGGACAGTGCTGGCGGTTGCCGGCGAAGACTTCGCCATTGTGGCCTCCGACACACGGCTGAGCGAGGGCTACTCCATCCACAGCCGGGACTCGCCCAAGTGCTACAAGCTGTGAGTGCACGGCCTGTGCCAATCATGTGCGGGGTGGCGGGGTCGAAGTAGGGACTGGGGCTGATCGGTTCTCAGAGTAGGTACTAATGGGCTTCATGTAACTGCTGGGGTTGATAACACTAGGCTTGTGTCCTGAACATGAATACACATCCAGGTGTATAAAGGGGAAAGACTTTGTATTCGTTGTTAAACATGTCTTGGTACATTCTTTCTATCAAAGTTCGCAATATTGCTGTTTAAGTTTTTTGCTATGGTTGTGTGTTGATTTCTTACAGGACAGACACAACAGTCCTGGGTTGTAGTGGTTTCCATGGAGACTGCTTGACACTAACTAAAATCATTGATGCCAGACTCAAGGTACTGTTTCAGCTCTGGCTTTTTATCATGGGCCTCAGTAGGGCTGCATGATATTGCGTATGTGCAATAATCACCAGACCTTTAGATGAGGGGCATAAACATTTGTCTAGATGCCCGCTTCTCGATACAAAATGGATGTTTACTTACACCTGCAGTTTGGTAAGCAGATTAGTAGAATCCCTAAAATATTAATCAGATGTGTATTGTGACACCCAAAAATTAGTAATCTGTATTCAGTGTAACCTTATGTTTATTAAATTTGGTTAGTGGAGCATGCCACATGCCAATGCTGGTGTGGGCAATCTTATGCGGGTGTGGGCAATCTTATGCACAAAGGGCCAGTGTGTACGCAGGTTTTTGGACTAATTAGATTACTTATTTCAGGACTTATTGGCGGAAGAGTCCTCATATCTGGGTTTGAACAACTGACATAAAGTCAGTTGTTCAAACCCAGATATGAGGACTCTTCCGCCAATAAGTCCTGAAATAAGTAATCTAATTAGGGAGTTGCAGTGAAAACTGCTCTCTGACAGGCTATGAGCGCACTGGTTAGGCAGTGGTGACTTCTTCATCTCACACTGAAAGTGAAAACTCTGTCCTGTGCTGAGCGGTAACCATCCTTGCTGCTGCATTTCCAGATGTACAAGCACTCCAACAACAAGAGCATGACCAGTGGTGCCATTGCAGCCATGCTGTCCACCATCCTGTACGGACGGCGCTTCTTCCCCTACTATGTGTACAACATCATTGGGGGTCTGGATGAAGAGGGTATGCTTGGTACTGGGGGGAGCCCTCAGACATACGGACAGGCTTATAATAGGGCTGATGTTCACCATTAGTATTCTGGAGAACCTGATGTGAGTCTGTATTGAAGTTGGTTGCAAGCGCCACATTCTGCTAAGTCATTGACAATTTTAAGTGAATGAGCATTTGTATGATACCAGATGTGATGACTGCTCTGCGGGCACAGTCAGAAAGGATCTGTTGAAATTTAGGATATGAAAAAAGAAGTTAAATGCTTGTCCGATAGAGTAATCAAGTGTTTTGTCATTTAGATGATCTTTACCAGTGTATGAGATTCACCTTTCTTCAGCAGCTTCAGGTTTATTTGCAGTTATGAGACAAGAGGCCATCTTTAACTTGATATCAGTTGAAACAAGATCAGAAAGCAGGGCATGAGGTGTAAATTCCTGCCCTAAGTACCAGAGATGGCGTTGAAAAGGTGGTAATTCCAGTGTCTGCAATAATGTTTAAAGCTGTGTGGTGATCAGTTAGACTTTTTGAATAAGAAAGACTTCATTGGTGATTGATATAGAAGCAAGCAATGGCTTTAGTCAGTCATGGTAGGCCTATTTCATACAATCTTTGTAAAACATAGTACCATCTGATTTGAATTATTATGCTGATTAGGGCTGCACGATTTGGGGAAAATATCGAATCGCGATTTTTCTGACAGAAATTGCGATTACAATTTTATTTCCAATTTAATTTTTTATGTCAAGCTTCAGTTCAATATTCAGTGCGTAGTAATTTTAAAACATATGTCGCAGCATGAGATACCATCAGTATTAACTGGTCTATATATATTCTAATGCAAGGATGAGAATTTAAAGATGTGATGTCAAGTTAAATAAAGTAATAATGAAAACAATTGCAGCAAAAAGAAAAATAGCGATCTTGCAGGTAACGCTTATTACCCTCCTAATAAAACTAGAACCGCCTTTTCCCACACCCAAGCAAGAACTACTTCGGTGTATGCAGCCCTTTTGTTTGCACTATTGTGTTGTTAGCTGCTGTCATTAACACTAATAACACTCAAAAAACCGTAATGTTCATAACAGAGTGGCTGTTCTGTCCTGAAACCGTAAAGCTGGAAATTTTTAAACGTAGTATGCATTTTATAAAATGTTGAATAAATAGAAGTCGTTTATTGGTGATTTCATGTTGGTCGAAGTTCCCGCTTTTTAACAACTGTATACGGTTATTTTCTATACAAATCAATTCAGGTGAAACAAAAAATGTACGTGTTCATGGTTGCAAACTCAGACTCTCACGCAAGAAATCTTACGGCAAATCTATATTCCATTCTGAACTTAAAATTAGCTGCATCAAAAACGTTACGGCAGTTTGCAAACCCTACAGACTATTTCAAGGTAATAAAACTTACATACATGTAAATCTGTGTGCAGAACAGAGAACAGAAAATCTCACTCCATGCAGCTGACCAAAGTTGCCAACCCTGCATTTTATTTTAAATGAGAAGTAAAATGCAGTTTTCGACAGAAGCAGCTCATCATTCCTTTGCTTTGTTACTCTGACAAATACAAAACGAATGATTAAACATTATATGCGTCTCTTTTTGTATGTTTTCTAAATAAGACCGCGTGCCCATACCCAACTGTAATAGCGATTAAAGCGATCTATTCTTTTAGTATTTATGTTAAAGCAAGACTTTTATTTTATTACTGTTGTGGGATTAATCTTTGGAAACACTTAAATTTAATAAGCACAAAAACATATGACATAAACATGACTGTATTGTGGGTTTTACAGCTTTTTTGGAGGTCACCGACTCCGCTGCTGTGAGAATTACTGACTGTCTCGTTGTTTTGATGGGTTAGTGGTATACTAATGCTATTGCCTATTAACAAAAACCAAAACCCAAAACCCTGGGTCCGACGTGCTGTATAATGTATATCCTAAATCGCGTTTTTTGCGCCTTGCTAACCGCGTTGTTTCAAATCAGGATTTCGATTTGAAATCGAAAAATCGTGCAGCCCTAATACTGATACCTATATAGCAAATGTTCCACTGATTACAACAAAGGTACTGTACGCTTTTGCTCTTTCAGTTAACAAAAAAAGAAACAAAACTCAAGAAATGTATCCACACAAATCAAAATGGCTGTCCTTTTAATAAAATTAAGGTTTGTTTATGGGTATTGCTTCTAGCTAAGATCAAGTGTAGTATCTGTTCTAATCAGTTTAATATCTGGTTTAATATTCTTTGCTCATGCAAAAATAAGTAGCACTTGGCCAAATTTGAAGTTTGTTATGGAATCTATAAATAAACTAATTTTCAGGCTTTTTAGCAAGTTCAACTGCTTTGAGGCAGCTCTAAATGTACTTCAAATGTGGTCCTATTTTACATTTAAAATCTCTGTACCACAGATAACAAAAAGCTACAGAAGCATTTGGAATTTTTAAACTTTTTGGCCGATGCATTGTGAACCACCCCACTACACAAGTCCTCATTGAGCTTTGAGCAGCTGGCTAGGGTGGAATGGTGTCTGATGCATGTGTGGTCTTTTCAGGGCGTGGCGCTGTGTACAGTTTTGACCCTGTGGGGTCCTACCAGAGAGACTCCTACAAGGCTGGTGGCTCAGCCAGTGCCATGCTACAGCCGCTTCTGGACAATCAGGTAATTCAACTTTTAATTTTGTTGTTGAGCAGATGGTTTTATTGAACACAAGAAGGTACATTACTTTGCTCAAGGTAGAGCTACCATCCCAAGTTAGTGGTTGGTCCTTACCCAGTGTAGTCCTTTGCAGTACTAAATACACTAAACTCATTAAAGCTTCCAGTTTATTCAAATTGGTAAATACATATTCAGCGGTAGTCAATAGCATCCATAGAACAATCAAATGCATTTTGCCACTAGGAGGAGGCAGAAGACAAGCTTGGAATATGTCTCACAACAGTCTGTACCCTATTAAGACTAGGGCATATTCATTCTAAAGTTTGTCTCCACTATTTTTGCATGAGCTCTGCATGCGCTGTCCAAGCCACCAATCACATTTATCCTTGCTCACTCATAGGGTGGTGCGTTTGTGAGAAATTTAACAAAGAGTGAATCGAACAAGAACTAATCACCAGAAGACATTTGGCTTTTGCTGTATGGAAATATTTTGGATTCCATGCAGGCAATACTGAGCAAAAGCAAATGATTTGTGGGCACAGCTCATGGCAAAAAGTGTAAGAGAATCTGATTATACTGCTGCTGTTAATTTTATATGTAAATTTTGGTTGTCCTGGCTGTTAAAATGTTCTTGAAATTGAAGTTCTGTGAAATTCTTAAAATTGTCAGTGTACCAGTAGTGACTTTTTGGCAGATTAAACAGAATGTGAACTACTGACCTGCCTTTCTCAGTAAAGGCAGACTCAATTGGTAGAAAAGTTCTGTTTTGCTGTAGTTTATTTGGAGTAAATTTCCAACTCTTTTTTTGCTTTTGCAAAATATATTTATTGTCAAATTTTCCAGTATCGTTTTAAGGCGGCTTTTAATGTTTTACGTTATACTATTGCAGCAAATGAGTGATGTTTCTGTTTGTATGGAAATAAATTCATGGAGTAGCCTTTAAGCCAGAGAAGTATCGTTAGGATTGTGTTGTCAAAAATATGGAGATTGCCAGTCGAAATACTGTACTTAAGCTATCTTTTCAGTTTAATTTATTCAAGCTACTTTTTTTATGTATTTTTTGCAGCAGTAAGTGTACTCTCATTTTGTATGGACAAATATAAATATTTTGATCCACACTCCATATACATTTCTCTGTGCATGGGAGGCTGGGGTTTAATCAAATATTATTCGTATAATGACTGGTGGAAATCGACTAGTAATTATGCCTGAAATATTCATCCCTAATTAAGACCAGAATGAATCCACTGAGAAGTTTGTAGTTTTTGTAATGAAAATAATACTCATAGATAGGCAAAGTGGGTGCTATGGAGTGCTAAATGCCTTTTCCTAGTTGTGGTGTTTGATACTCTACTGTGGGAAACCAACAGTCTTTTTGCACAAACACATGGTCTTATTTCAGTATGGCAGCAGTCTTCTGAAGTCCCACCTTTTCTTGGAGAACAGCCACTCAGTCAGTACTTTTCCATTTCTCTGCCAGATTGGTTTCAAGAACATGGAGAATGTGCAGCACCTGCCGCTTACCTTGGAGAAGGCCATGCAGCTGGTGAAGGATGTCTTCATTTCTGCTGCTGAGAGAGATGTGTACACTGGAGATGCACTCAAACTTTGTATAATTACCAAGGAGGGCATCAAGGAGGAGATGGTTCCTCTCAGGAAGGACTGAAGGGTTAGGGTTTGTTTTCCCATCCCTAACTAGTTAATGTGTTTTTCTTTTTTCTGCTGATGGAAATTGGAATTTTCTATTTTTACTCTGACTTAAGGTAAATAAAGTATGATGCCATCCCTTTCCTCATTTGAATGTGATTAGCATGCAAAATACTGATTTATTTCTTTGAGGTACAGTATACTGCGATGTCAAATATTGGGCTAGTTTCAGCTTCCTTTGGGCGGATTTTAAGCAGACCTTGAGCTGGAGATTTTTGCTGGACCTGGCAGCACTGTGGACACCATATATAGCAAATGTTCCACTGATTACAACAAACAGCCTACCGCCCTTCGCCCAGGGACTGGCCTAACTGCAGGTGGGCATCAATGTGCCCATCGGCTTCTGTGCGCAATCAGCCAATGTGCGCATGCACCTGTGTGTATATATACACTCACCTAAAGGATTATTAGGAACACCTGTTCAATTT